AAGTTGTTGTGATCTGCCTCCACGTGGTTCTCTCCAGCCCTCTCTGGGGCAAGCAGTGGCTTCACATCATCTTCCATTACTGTCGACGCTTAAAGAGCAGCACTGTTGCTACGCGTCATTACCTAGACAAAACAAAACAAAACTACAAAGAGTCACACTGTTGATCAGACCATAATCAACAGATGAACAGGAAAAGGCTACCATATACAGCTATATAGGAGCAATAAGAGTCTTTGCACTTAGTTGAGTACTTTGCATATTAACTCAAGGTTTTGACTCCAGACTTGATAAATATTATCTGTAAGTGTCAATCAAATATTATCTATACATTTTGTTTAATTCGTAATCCAAGCATCTATGATAACATATGAAATGAAGATTAAGGGGAGACTTGGTATTCCCATCATACAAACTTCCTACAGTAACAGTTTATAGAGAGAAGGAATTAGTAAGCCATTTACAAGAACAATCCAGGAATCTTTGACTCAGATCTCATAAAACACAATTTAAACAAGTCAGCTGAAATAAACTATTATTGGCACCATTCACTAGCTAGCAAAACTAAAAGGTCAACTAATTTTTTTAGTAACCAAGACATTCAAAAGCTGCTTATAGAAATGAATACAGAAACTGTTAAGTGCAAAAAAAAACATTAAAAACAGAGAATTAAAAATAGTGGCAATTGTAATTGTAAGAGATCAGAATGCAATGTCGTACACATTTAACAGAGCATTGAATGAATTAAAAGCCTGGTTTTCAGGCATCCAAAACTAGGAAAATAATATTTTGTGTAAGTTCGTGCAATAGGGTGCAAAATTGATTATATACATACCAGAAAGGTTCCGTACTTGAATTTGTCTGCTGGACAAGAAGGTACCACCGACCTCTCCTTTGGGGACGGAGAGGATAAAATTAACTCCATAAAGTGTTGCATTAGAAACCGCATAAGTAGATTAAAATGCTTGAAACCAGAAAAGGCTGGTCTTTCCACGAAAACTTGCAAATTAAATTTCTCGCAAAGATCTCCATAACTCTGAAATTACACACCCTTACAAAGGGTATATTTATTTAGCCTAATATATTTTTCTTATATGTCGACTTTCATTGCACCTCAGGATCAGAGCATAACCTTAGACTTTCAAGACCAGCAAAATCGAAGAATGAGATCAGGTGGGTCTTAC